TCATGGGTCGGTGCTCAGCCACGGAGCGGCGCTGGCCGGCTGGCCGCTGTCTCCTTTTCAGACGAACGTTTTATTGAAGCGTCACATGCATCACAGGGAAGCGTCCCCGTCGCAGGTGTGGCGTGCGATACAGTTTCCCGGGCTGCACACACCTGCGTAGCCAGCACCCAGACGGGGAAGCAGCGTGGCCACAGCTCTCCGGGGCCCGCCCCGTCCCCGTCCCCGGCAGGTAACCTGGGTAGGTCATGGGTCGTGACCTCTGGCCACACAGGTGCGCCTCGCCCGTGTTCGCACCTCCCTCTAAGGCAGCGGTTCTCAACCTGTGGGTCGCGACCCATTTGGGGGTCGAACGACCCTTTCGCAGGAGTCGCCTAAGACCATCGGAAAACACAGATATAATGACATATTGTTTTTGTGATTGAACACTATGCTTTCAGGGTGTTCAATTTGCAACAATGAAAATCCATCCTGCATATCAGATATTTACATGACGATTCATAACAGTAGCAACATGACAGTGATGAAGTAGCCACGAAAATAATTTTATGGTCGGGGGTCACCACAACATGAGAGACTATATGTAAGGGCTGCGGCATGAGGAAGGTTGAGAACCACTGATTTAGGGTCTGGAGTCCGGCTCCTTCCCCTCGCCGCGTCTGAAGGTGCTGGTGGCCGTGGTCACGCCTGGTGCGTTTGGTTGGCTGTAAGCCCAGCAGTGGAATTTCTGGGTCACGTCAGATCCTGGCGCTGTCTCCTGGGGGACGTGTGGAGGGGTCGCTGGCTTGGTCAGAGGCAGCAGGGAGGCCAGTGATGTGAGTGAGGAGGGGGAGAGGCTGGGGGTGCCCAGGGCTGGGCCCCGCGGAGCAGCCGGACACGGAGACCCTCCGACCACTGACTGAGCGGTTTCCAGTGGCTCCCACAGCAAACCCGTGGCTTCAAGCGTCGGAGAGGGGGTCTCTGAGATTGTGGAGGCCGGAAGCTCGGGATCCGGGTGTCTGCAGGGCTGTGCTCGCCGGCGCTCCTGGGGACGGCCTACTGCGCGCCTCTACGTGCGGTGGCGGCTTGTGGCCACGTCACTCCGGTCTCTGCCTCCCCTCCTCCTCGGGGGGGTCTCCCTGTGGCTTTCCCTTGTCATGGGCTTGGGGTCCACCCGAACCTGCAGAGACCCCCTTTCCAAGTAAGATCAGACCCCCAGGTTCCAGGTGTTAGGAGGCGGACATATCTCTTTTTTGGGGGGACCACCCTTCAGCCAAAGGCACCACCCCTCGCTGTCATCCTAAGCACCGTCCTGCCCTTTGCAAAGCTCTCAGGCCGCTCTCTGATGGCTGAGCCGGACCCTCTTGGCTCCCACAGGTGACACTTCCTCCGGGAAGCCCTCCCTGACTGCCCCCCGCCTAGCACCCCAGGTTCCGTGCAGCTGTGTCTGTGGTCCTGAGTGTGTCCTCAGAGGGCTGCGTCCTCCTCCAGGGCTCAGCAGGCCTTTGCCCACAAGGGCGCTAGAAACCAGGAATTTGGGCGGAAGGCCTCTTCCCAGCAGTGGCCGGGGCACCGTGCCCAGGGGTAGCCCGGTGTCCAGCCCTGCTCTGCCCCCCTGCCCCGTCCCCGCTGCCCCCTGGACACGGCGCCTCAGAGGGAATCTGGCTGCGACCGCTCTCGGGCCGCTGTGGCTGCCCTGGTGCACACCGTCCAGGGAGGGAGGAGGCGCTGGGGGCGGGCAGCCCGGACCTTTGCTTTTCCTTGGAGGAGGCCAGGGAGACAGATGCCTTTGGCGGAGGGACCGGGGCCAGAGATGCCAAGATCAAAGGGTGCGGAGATCAGGGCTGGGCAGGTGGCGTCACTTGGAGGCACCAGGGAGGGGCAGCAGCTGGTGCCTCCCAAGGGCAGGGCTGACCCAGAACGCCCTCCCCTCGCTCCCTGCCCCACCCCCGCGGATGACCTGTGGGGAAGGGCTCTGGGAGCTGAATGCAAGGAGGGAGGGGTGCCCCCCCCCCGCCGTGGGCACAGCTGTACCCCCCGCCACACACACTAGGACCCTCCGCTTAACCCTCACAATCACTCCCTTACGAGGAACTATTACATAATATATCTGTATTTTTAAATATATTTTTATTGATTTCAGAGAGGAAGAAAGAGGGAGAGAGAGATAGAAACATCGACGTCACCCATTGGGGATGGAGCCCGTAACCCAGGCATGTTTCCTGACCGGGAATCGAACCCGGGATCCTTCAGTCCACGGGCCGACGCTCTATCCACTGAGCCACACCGGCCAGGGCTCCCAGTCCCATTTAGAAAACCATCTCGCTGGGTGTCTGGGTGCTGTGGGGCTGGGGTGGGTGTGCCCTGGGAGTGCAGGTATGGGGACGAGGGCGGGGGGAGGGGAGGGCTCCCGCTGTGGGAGGAGCTTTCACTGGGACTGGGCGTGGGGGCACTGAATAGAGGGCTCTTTCTCCTGTTCTCCCCAGACACGCCCTGGCCCTTTATCCGGTGGAATAAAGGCAGTAGGACCCGCGTCTTCCGCTAAACAAACAGAACCCAGGGTTGCGTCTCCCACAAAGGGGACTCCCCCGCCCGCCTTGGGCACCCATCCTTCCGCCCAGGCCCCCTCCTGCTCCCACCCCACCAGCCCCTGTCCTGGGGCTGCCCTGGTTGCACACAGTCCAGGGAGGGAGGAGGCGCTGGGGGCGGGCAGGGACACTCCACCGCTAGCCACCCAGGCCGGGCTGTGGCTGACTTGGTGATGGAAGCTTCAGCGCTCCGTCCAACGGCCGCATGGACGAGCCTGAGGAAGCCCAGTGGGACTCCGGCTCCCGCCCCAGGCCTGGTCCCTTGGGCCTGTCATGGTCCAGGCTCTTGTCATTTGTCCCCACGGACGGGCTCTTTGAGGGCGGGCAGCACGCATTACTGGGCCTCGCAGCTTCCTTGCCTGGCACATAGTAGGTGCTCAGCGAGCGCTGGTTGAGCGGTGGGTGCCTGGATGGTGAGAGGAATGCCTGGAGGGCTTCCCGTAAGAGGCGGCACTTGACCTGGGTCTCGGCGAACGGGGGTGTTGGGTCGTGGTGCTCACGGGTCCTGCCAGTTGGTGACTTGCTGTGGGCTGAGCACCGGCGAGGCACTTTGCCAGGGGGGAAACCGAGGCAGGGAGAGGCGAAGGAACGTGCCCAGGGTCCCACAGTGGCAGAGCCAGGAATCAGACCGCAGAGGCTGCAGGGTGTCCGGCGGGGCTGCCTGTGACGAGGGCCGCGTCC